TGGGCTTCCTGTGGTACGATAATGTTTTGTTTGCTGGGTTTCCTTGGGAAGTGGGGTTGTTGTTTTAATGCTGGGGCCTGGGGGGTTGTGTGTCATTCTCGATACTGTTCTCAGCCAGCTATAATGCCTTTCTCCATTATATCTTGTATACTGTCTCATGGGTTTGGATAATATTACTGTAGTATCATGGAATGTCAGGGGGTTAAATAACAAATCAAAAGGTCTCTAGTGTTTAACTATCTGAAGTAACTCAAACCTTGTATTGTTTTGCTACAGCAGACTCACTTGGAGAGAGGTAGGGTGTTGGCACTGAGACGTCCCCGGATTCAAAGAGCGGTTCATGCCACTTACTCTGCTTACTCCCGGGGTGTCTCGGTGTTAATTAGCAAGTCCCTTCCTTGCTCTGTGCTACACACAGTAGTGGACCCTGGCGGCAGGTTTGTTATAGTTATATTAGATATTCAAGCTACTAAGTTGGCTCTTGTAAATGTGTATTTACCGCCACCTTTCCATGTGCAGATTTTGTATACTGTTCTAGATAAACTGGCATCCTACCTTCCTCTCCCAGTCATTATTGTGGGTGATTTTAATCATATTTTTTTTCACTCTCTGTATTCCTCCAACCCGGCTAGATCCCGTTACTGATTTATTGTCCTGGGCTAAGACAGCACTGGTTGAGGAAATGTGGAGATGGAAACATCCTGGTGTTCAGGCGTATTCTCATCTGTCTCACAGTCATGGCTCCTCAGCTCGATTGGACATGGCGTTTGGTAACCAGTCTATGCTACGACTTGTGTCTAGTGCTTCCTACCTACCTGGGGGCTCTTGGACCATATCGCCTTTTCCTTAACTTTTTCTTTGCCAGGAGGGAGAAGGCAGGGGTGTTGGAGACTGTCTCCTGCATGACTAAGAGAGGAGAGGGTGTCAGTAAAGGTGTCTCCAGTAAAGGACCTGTACTGACATTTTAATGCTGGCTCTGCGTCGGCCCCGGTGGTTTGGGATGCCTTCAAGGCTCGCACTTGAGGGGAATACATTTCTGGAATTAAGGCTGTTCGTGGGGAGGAAGGTGCGGCTCTTTCTCAGTTGCAGGATGTGGAGGCTACCTGTGCTCCAGCCTTTGCGGATTCCCTTGGAGAGACTACTCTCGCTGCTCTTAAATGGGCCAGGCGATCCCTTTATCTTCATCATGTGGTGCTGACGCAGTGCTCGCTACGGGGGAGGCTATTTTTGAACTGAGTGACAAAAATGGCAAACTTCTGGCTATGCAGGTAGCGGAACAAAGGTCTCAAACTAATATCCCCTGCATTCTGACAGATAGTGGCACTAGAATCACAGACCCTTCCCTTATTTTGCGGGAGTTTTTGGATTATTATCAGTCCCTCTATTGCCGCATCCCTGAATATGAGCTGAACTCGCTGGGGGACCTGTTAGGGGGTCTTTCTTTGCCAGTGCTGGAGAGTTCTGACAGGGATTTCTGGATGCGACTATCTCCATCCAGGAGCTGCAAACGGCGATTGCCTCCTTTCCTACGGATAGGTCTCCTGGGCCGGATGTGGAGTGGTATAAGCTACATGCAGATCTTCTTGCCCCCCGACTCAGGGACTTCTATTTACAATGTTTAGAGATACAGGTTCTGCCCAATTCCTTTAAGGATGCCCATGTTGTCTTGCTCTCCAAGCCTGGTAAGGACTCCCTTTTGTGTTCTTCATATAGACCCATTGCCCTGTTGAATATGGATCTAAAAAGTTTGACTAAGGTACTGCCGACCCGCCTCTCCAGAGTCACTGGTTCCATGGTGAATATTGATCAGACTAGGTTTATGCCTGGCTAGTCCACAGACACCAACTTGCGCAGGTTGTTTACTAATTTACAACTTGATCACGATAATGTGAGCTCTAGGGCCATTGTCTCGTTGAATGTGGCCAAGGCCTTTGTTGATTGGGGTTACATGTGGGAGATACTTTGGAAAATGGGCTTTGGTCCACATTTCCAGAGATGGATTAGTCTCCTTTTTGATACTACTTGAGATGTCCTGAAGATTCCCTCTCGCAATCACAAAAGGCACCGACAGTAGAGATCCACTCGTCAGGGGTGCCCCTTATCACCTGGTTTATTTGCGCTTGTGATGGAGCCCTTGGTGGCGGCATTGCGGACTTCGAAGAGGATAGTTGGCCTCAGGATAGGTGGCATAGAGGGGAGGCTGGCTCTATATGCGGATGATCTCATTCTCTTCTTCGCGGATGCTTGTCCTTCACCTCAGGAAATCTTGGATACCTTCGCTGTTTTTTGCAGGCTCTGGGTTAACTGGTCTAAATCCCATATCCTACTCTTAGAGCCTCAGACAAAGTCTTCTGCTGATTCCTCCCTTACTTTGCAGTGGGTGGATACAATTACTTCCCTGGGTTTCCAGATTATTAAATCGGTTGGGGTTTTTTTATTCCCTGAAACTTCTTTCCTTAATTTCTATGCTTAGACTACGTCTAGAGTTGTGAAAACATCTACCTCTGTCCATTATTGGTAAAGTTAACCTTAAGATTCAAATTTTGCCAGTATTTCTGAATTTTCTTAGAAATTCCTGTTTGGGTTCCTCAGTCATTTTTTCATGCTATTAGCAGATTGATTAGCTCCTTCTTATGGAACCCAAAGGTTCCCAGACTTAAAGTTGCTGTTTTGAAAGGAACCCTGGAATAGGGGAGGGTTGGCACTTCCGGACTTTAAGAAATACTATTTGGCGGGTCAAATGGTGGTAATTCATAGGTGGTTCACGGGAGATGATGGGGATGCTGCTGAGGTGGTTGAAGCTGCCTCCCTGGGCTCCTATGAAGTTCTTGGTGGCCTGCTTTTTAGAGGGCTGAAGGCTCCCTATCGACTTACTGTGTCGATGATGGCTACGGTTATGGCCTGGTTTTCTGTATGTAAGGTTATGTATCAAGATAAGACTTTTTGGTCCTCTTATACTGCCATATGGAAGAACCCACATTTGGCTCACTTTTTAATTTCCCTGATTTTTATATCTGGCCTGGTAAAAGGGTCAGGACCTTGGGAGATATGACTCTCAATGATGCCCTTTTTTTTTTTAAATTCGTTTATTAACTGACAAATCCGACAGTACAAAGTTATAGCAACGAGCATTGATACATATGTTACAAACAACAACATGTGAACACATTGGGGTCCGGCATTGTACAGAGAAATTCCACTGTTAGTGGCAAACAGATCAAAGACCATTCGTATAACAACAGTCAAAACATTCCAACTGTGATGTCTAACAGCCTCTGGCGTGTGCGTAGTTTGAGAGAAACATAAAACTAATCTACAATCTAGCCGGCTGTGTCAGTATTAACAATATATAACCTCTGGGGGAGCATCACAAGCCCCTTAGAACCATTATTGTGAAGCCATTTTAGTAGGAGCACACACTCAGCTTCTCCCTAGACATGGTAGCAGGCGCAAGTAGCAAATGAGTGAAGAGGAAGAACAGAAAAAGCAACAGAGGACCAGTGTCCCGAATCGCCTCCCTGCGCTCCCTTCTTAGGGGGTCTAACCTCGTCCGACCTCTTAGGTGGTGTGGCCCTGAGCTGAATGGAGCCTTTCAGAAGGCGCGTCCCAGGCAGGCAGGCAGGCACAGCCAAAAGGTTCAGTGCCTCAGTTTTTGGCAGCCATATCGCCCAGGTCTGCCTTAGTGGAGAGTTTAGGGAGGAGGGATCGCCACGTGTAGTCACTGTCTGCCTCCTCATTGTGACCTGTTGCAGTGCGACCCGGGCTCTGGGTAGCGTCCTCGGGTGGCGGATAGTACTATGTGTCCCCAGTTATTTACAAACACTGGAGTGATCAGACGATCGCTCCAGTGTTTGTCCTTCTCACACGGAGGACCGGTAAATATCATTGATATTTACTGATCCCCCGCCCTGCCACACACAGAGCCGATGTCATCCTGAAACTGACAGGATGACAGCGGCTCCGATCTCCTCCGCGCTCTGCCACCCTGACAGCTGCGGACGCAGCTTCTCTCCCCCTCACCGCTCGGCCATCCTGACAGCAGGCAGCGCTCCCAATCGTGGCGGTCAAGGTAGCGCTGTCATGTAGGTGAGGAGGAGAGTGGTGAGGAGGAGAGCGGTAACGAGGAGAGAAGCCACCCGGAGGACAAGCTGTGTCGGCCGCCTGGCGCCTTTGTTGCCATTTCGCCCCATGCGGCCGCACAGCTCGCACACCCCTAAGGCTGGCCATGCTCATGACATATGCAGACTCTGCTCCTGTTTGCAGTACTGCACAGTAGTTATTTTTTACAGCTCTTTCATTATTACAGTGCATGTGCATCTGTCAGCTGACTCCTTAAAAACAATGTACTATGCACTATGGCTGATATCTTATCTCAACAGTTGTTAATTAGTGTGGCTGAGTAATTTTCACAGCAGATTTACCCTACCTCTAGAAGTTTATATAAAATCTCTGAATTAAATTTAAAAAACAAAACAAAAAAGAAGAGTGCTTAAGCTAGGTGCTGAAATTACACTATACAATTCTCTTTTGTGGATGGGCTTGCTGAATGAGTAAACAATTGTTTATTAGCTGGTTGCTTTCTTAATGTATTTATTATCTAATGTAGTATCTATATTGTCTTAAGGCAATATTATGCAATCATTTCTATTATGATGGACATCAGACATTTTTTGTACAGATATCTCCTTTAGTCTTGTATAGTTGCACCATGCAATGTCTTTGGAGTATGGGAGGAAACTGGAGTACCGAGAGGCACTCAAAAGCACAGGAAGAACATGCAAACTCCATGCAGATATAGTGACTTGGATTCTAATCGAGGACCCCAACACTATGAGGCAGAAGTGCTAACCACTAAGCCACTGTGATGTGCTGCCATTTTACTTTGCTATCTTTCCATTTTGTAAAATTTTTCTTTTTCTTAGCTGCAATCTTTCCTATACCTTGCAGTCTGTAACCAGTCATCACTTGATATGGGCACAAATTATTTCTGTTGCTTACAGAGTGCAATGCTGCCATACATAAAAAGTGCATTGACAAGATCATTGGCAGGTGTACAGGCACAGCAGCCAACAGCCGGGACACCATGGTAAGCTCTCATCTCCTTTTGTTTTTTACCTCATGTGACCTAGGGTGTTTAAGGATTTCTACTTTTACTTTCTGAACAACACAAAAGAAGAAATTGAATGCATGTACTTTCTAATTTGTGTTAATTTTTATTCGTGTCATATGCTTTGACATCATGGAGAAGTTAATTTACATTTTTATTGTATTTATTTTTTTGGGGGGGAAAAATCTGCTGATTTATGTTGATTCAAGTTCAAAAATGAATGATACTGATACTGGTGTTTCTATAGGTGCTAGATGTCCATAGGTGTTGACTTTTGATAATCTTTAATAATCATTTGACTATATTTACCCAAATATCCAAACTTTCTGTTCATTGCTTTTGGACATATATCAAACAAGGTGATTTTTTTTTTTTTTTTTCAGAGCAAGGTCACAGATATCTCTGACTCGCTCACATTGGTGTATGATTTTGCATCTTTCTATTTCCATACAAGCTGATATGTGCCGCTGCTGCTCAGGGCTGTCATGTTAATAATGTGGAATTAGTGGGTAGAGCCTGCTGATTACAAGCTATGCCTTCAGTCATTCTGCGTATGCGCCACTGGCATAAGGATGACCCATTCAGGGGTGTAAACATCAATAGTGTGTAATCAGGAGGCGCCGCCTGCTGAGTACACACCATTTTACAGTCATTGTGCGCATTTGCCGATGTCTCCTGACTGAATCATTCATGGGAAGAGGAAAAGATGAATAACGTATAATCTACACATTGTTGATATTTGCATGCCAGCCCTGAGCAGCCGTGGCAGCCAGTAGGGTCCACGTATGCTGGACGCATGAAAAACATTACTGCATATGCATTTCATCATAAAATAAGGTCCATATGCAGGAACATGGATACAGATTTGTCTTTTTTTTTACGCAGCTCCACTTTAGGGATCTTTGCACAGCTGTGCATGAGCCCTAAAAGGGAACTCCAGGCAAACAGCTAAATGCATAGTTGAAATACATTTATGTTTACTATTTTGCCTGCCAGAGCATTTATACTTTTGTTTAGCTAACCTTAAGACACATCTGCCAAACAGCCAGGAAGATAGCATACTTCTTTCCTAATTGAACAATTTAGCTTCTTATGTTACAGTTGGACTATAGCATCATTAACCTCTCCGGTTAGCAGAGAGGTTGTCCATGAAGTAGTAAAGTAATCTTGACCTGGGAGTGAAGAATGCATCCTGATAACCAAAGGCCAGAACAAATTAACATAGGATGAGCAATAAACACCTTAACACAGGGTTCTTAAACTCAATTCACTCGGGGACCGCTCGACAAATCTCATATTTTAAAATAAAATGTAACTATATCCGGTTTGGTACTATGGACGCTAATACACACAATAAGGCCCCATTCATATTTGTAGGTTTCCTGAAGCAGGAATCACTAATCTGGCATTTACAAGTGATAACTTGTAAACCTCCCTGAAATACCCCCCCAATACACATAAAAAATACTACCCCAGCTCTGCTGCAGACCTTACTAATCAATCCAAGTGCCGGCACAGAAGCAGCTCTGCGGTCTGCATCCGACAGAGATGCAGACTGTGAAGCTGCTCCCGCAAGTCTGGTACGCGGTCTGTGAGTCACGTAGTACCGGCTCGCAAGCTGCAATTGGCCCGTGGGCTGGTACTTTGAGATCACTACCTTAACACATCAGGGATATAAGACATACATAGGACATTATGATGTACTGTATATTCACAAAAAGTTCTGGTAGTGTGTCAGGAAACCAGAATCCACATTAAGTCCCTCCTTTATGGTGTTGAAATGTAAAATCATTCCACACAGGGATTCATGTATACACACACATGCACAATCGCATACAGACACACAAAGGTTGAACTGTGTCTTTATTCAACCTTGAATACTATGTAACTATTTTCATCTCAAATGTTTTCCTTTCATGAGAGTCTTTAAAATTCCCTTTTAAGTACTTTAATTTTAGGTTTTGGATGGAGTAATCTTTCTAGGAGAAGTGATGTCCCACTGGGGTGCAATTTTTGTTATTAATCGAACTCCCATGTAGGTTCATCCTGAGATGCAGCTTAAGGCCAGTTTCCCCAATGTAAGAACCTGTCATTTGATCCCCCACCTCCCCTTCTCTAACAACTTTCTCTTTCTTTAAGTGGTAAGCTCTGTCATGTTGATTAGTATTGCTTCTGATCTGAAGAAGAGAGGTTAACTCTTGAAAGCTTGATTTTGAATATTGTTAGTCCAATAAGAAAGGTATCATTGCATACTGCAATACTCTTGTTTTTTTGTTTAGTTTTTTTACTAATATATATATAGTCATGGCCAAAAATATTGGCACCCCTGCATTTCTGTCAGATAATGCACCACTTCGCACAGGAAATTGTTGCAATTACAAATGTTTAGGCATTCTTATGTTTATTTCTTCTGTTTGTATTGGTATGACACAAAAAAGTTGAAAATAAATAAGCCAAACTTCACACATTCCACGCAAAACTCAAAATGGACTGGACAAAATTATTGGCGCCCTTAATTAATATTTGGTAGCACAGCCCTTGGAAAAAATTACTGAAATCAATCACTTCTCGTAACCATCAATGAATTTCTTACACCTCTCTTCAGGAATTTTGGACCACTCTTTCACCAACTGCTCCAGGTCTCTCACATTTCCCAACTGCTGTTTTGAGATCTCTCCACAGGTGCTCTATGGGATTCAGATCTGGGCTCATTGCTGGCCAGTCCAGTACTCTCCAGCGGTTTGTCTGAAACCATTTCTGGGTGCTTTTTGATATGTACTTTGGGTCATTTTCCTGCTGTAAGACCCATGACCTTTGACGGAGACCCAACTTTCTGACACTGGGCTCTACATTGCACCCCAGAATTCTTTGGTAGTCTTCAGATTTCATAATGCCATACACACAGTCAAGACATCCAGTGCCTGTTTGACTGTAGGGACTGTATTTTTAATTAAGATGGGGACGTTTAGTGCGAGCTGACACAGTTGTACCCTGTGCCCTTAAGGTCAGCTTGAATTTGTCTGGAAGTTGATTGAGGGTCTTTATCCACCATTCGAACAAACCTTTGTTGCAATCTTTAATCAATTGTTCTCTTTCGTCCACGTCCAGGGAGATTAGCTACAGTGCCATGGGCTATAAACCTCTTGAGAATTTTGCGCACAGTGGACACAAGAACACTAAGATCTCTGGAGATGGACTTGTAACCTTGAGATTGTCCATGCTTTTCCCAAAAAACTTGGAATGCAATTATTTCTTGCAAGGTGCCAATAATTTTGTCCAGTCCATTTTTGGAGTTTTGCGTGGAATGTGTCATACCAATACAAACATAAGAAATAAACCTGAGAATGCCTAAACATTTGTAACTGCAACAATTTTCAGCGCAAAGTGGGGCATTATCTGACAGAGATGCAGGTGTGCCAATATTTTTGGCCG